CCAAGGCCGGCGAGGCTCGCGGAGGAGGACAGCTCTGCCCTGACCGCTGGCGCCTCAAAAGCATCGTTGGACCCGGGTCATTCAACACCCAAAGGGTTATCGAGCTAATGCCTTCCACCTCAGGTGAAAGCCCCAGCGGTCCTTGTTGATTTGCTCTGGGTCACTGGATACGTGCAGCAGTCCCTCTCCACTCGCTTCCTTCCACCCTTGCCCTGCGTCCCTCCGAGATCGCCAAGAACCCTGGTGCAACCTGCGCTCTCCCAGGGGAAGACGCTGGGTGTGTGGAACCTCTCGCCTTCTGCTGTAATAGGGCTCTTCAGGCCTTAGGGATGGAGGTGACCTTCACTGGTATTTAACAAGCCCATGGGCAAGCGGGTGGTTTGTGGCCTTAGCTTGTCCGAATCATTCCAACCAGGAGAGCAGAAGGAACCTCTAGTTTAAGGCTTGCTCCCGCTTCCCCTTGGCTTTCCCGGGACCTTCGGGTTCCCGGTTCAGGAGGACCCGGAACCTGGACCGCCGCGTGCACGTGAACGTTTAACCCGCCCCTTCCAAGGCTGTTCCCTCTTTCCGGGGAAATAAAGCCTAGATTGGAACCTTCTGCCCGGCTTCCTCACTGGGCCGTCTGGTCTGAATTAGTGTTTTTATAAGGGACTCAAACAAATCGAATACAAGGTCACCAAATAATTAACAGTTGCGAATTCCCTTCGTCCCCATTAAAATACTTCCCTGCTTATATTTCATTTTCCGTTTGCCAACGACAACAGGGTCCGGGCAAAAGCGCCGGCTCCGTTGATTACACTACTCTGTGGCCCAGTTCTACCCAGAACCCCACCGCTTTACATAAACACGATGTACCAGACAAACTTCAATGGCCGCCCAGCAGCCAGTCTGCCCCGCACAGTCCAGCCCCGCCACCAGAACAAGAAGACCCAGAAGGTAAGGGAGAAACCAGAAAGCAATCAGCAGCAGAAGCTCTCGAGAGCCGTCTGTAGGGGGTCAAGTTCCTCAAGGATGTTCCGATCTCGTTTTTTGGGTTTTATCTCCTTCTCACTGGCTCCTGTCTGGGCACGCTATTGTAACAACAAGGGTTAAAGAGTATTCGCTTTTCAAAGTCATCTGGAAACCTAGCTCACAGCGAATTCTTAGACTCCTTGTGCCTCCCTCATCTTTGGGAGTTTCCCTTCTGTGGCGCTTCTCACAAACGACAACAACTCCAGGTCTGAGCACTCCTTCCTGCAGCCCCCTGCCTCATTCTCCTGGCCTTCCTCCACCCCTCCTCCCCTGGATCCCTCAGCCCAATTGAATTCAAGAGGTTCTGATTGTCCCTTTCCCCAGATCCCAGAGCTGGGAGCCCAGGGCTCTAGTACCAGTGGTCTTTTAGTGAATGATTTCAGGAGCTGACTGTATCTTCGCAATATCTAATCCAGTCCACTCAAGTCTTATGATTTCACCAACACGCACTTCCTCCTCTTTACAGATCTAAAATCACTTTTAAAGCATGACACGATGGCATTTTAAAAGATCGGGGATCAGGCAGTTGGTGCCTCTGCTAAAACGGGTACAGGAAAAAGCCAGGCACAACACAAATTGTGACCCTCCAGTCCAAAGGTCCATGAAAGCTCCTAAGTACATTTTAACAGACTACAGAAGAATATTAGGCCATGAAGAAAATCTCATTTTTTCACTTCTTGTCACCACCTTTTGAAGCCTCCTTATCCTAGGAGCTTTGTGCACTCAGTTAGCTTCAGGGTCTAGAATATTACGTGAGTAGCCTTGAGCAACTTGCTTAACCCCTGTCTTCCTAATTCACCTGCAAAATGGGGTAATTACGGCACTGCCTCTGGGAATGGCTGTAAGACTTAAATGAGATAGTTCCTGTGATAGATTTTAGCACAGTACTTGGCCCACAGTAAAAGTTCAGTAAATCTTGGTTAATATCATTAACCCTAAATGTTCAAAGAGTAAACCCAAAGGGAAGGATTTTTTTTTAAACTTGCAATGAGACCACCTTGTGGAAGGTTGGGAGAGGTGGCAAGGGGTGGGATGGTGCAGAACATGCTGTCTTCTGCGTGCTGGACCACTCTTCCCTCACTCTGAGAGGACCGTATCTACACCCTGCCATTCCCACCCCCTGCTTCAGGTATAACTAACTCTTGAGTTCCCAGGTAAGGAAAACGCCTAGTCTGGCTTGGGAGCTCCTTCTCTTTTCTTTGCTCCTCCCCTTAGAGCAATCCTAGCTCCTCTGCGCCAAGCGCACCACCGTCATCAGCGATTTAAACGTCCTCGGGGCAAGGCGCCAAGTTAGCACGACTGGCCCAGCTCTGGGCTGGCCCCTGCTCTGTCCTCCTTGCCCAGCCATCTCCAAGATGGACTGGGGGAGGGGACGTTGAGGGGTTGGCTCAGCAAAGAACCCCCACGTGAGCGGAGCGGAAGTCCTCGCCAGGCGCTGGGGATGCGCGGCTAGCGGGTCCCTTCCATCACGGGAGACTAGACAGCGTTTGATGTGTTATGACATGAACCCTCAATTAGATCGCTGAGTTGAAACACTCCAATCAGGGCCCCGATGCTAAGCAAGCCCCGGAAGGTCCAGCCCGAGGTCACCGCCGGTGACACATCAAATCAAAATCAGTGAGAGGGAAAGTGAGGCTTTCCCTTTATCAAGCTGGGGCTGCAGCCAGCAGCGCACCCCCTCCTCTACTCGCCCCTCCAGCGGGCGGCTCCCCACTCCTTCGCCCCTCGCGCCAGTGCGGCCAGCTGCACCAGCCACCTAGCTGCCTTTCTCCGCGTTTTTTGGGGGGGAATCTGGGGGGCGTGGAGGCGGGGAGACTCTGACGCTGCCGTCAGGGTGATCAGGCAGCATCTCCTCAGTCCGTGAACGGCCAGCAGCCCCAGCCCTCGACGACGCTCTAGGGTGGAAGCCGGACGTCTGGATCTCCGTGTGGCTGGCCTAGAGACCTTGGCTTGGGAACAGAGGCCCCCCCAATCTGGGCGCGCAGCCAATCCCTCCGCTACCTCCGGCGCCCTGGGACTGCAGCGCAGTGCCCAGGGATGGGGAGGGGGGCGTGCAGGGCAGCCTAAGGTGACGCACGAGCCGTGTCTATGAGCGACCTGGCTAGGGCCCTCAAAGACACCGCTCCCTTTTGCCTGAATTCCGAGGGCTTCCACAAACATCTTAGAGGAGCTCGCAGCGTCCCTTGGTCCTATGCCAAATTCACGGGGCTCTGCGAACCAGTTAGGGTTGCCTGCTTGGGGGGAGTGGAGATTCTTGCCACTTCCTGGGAAAAGAAAATGAGCGCCCACTGCCTGCCAGCCTAGGCCTCCAGAATTCGTCCCTTGGGAAAGGGCCCCTGAGCAGTTTCCTTTGGGCTTCCTGAGGCTCCCCTTTGATGAAGGCAGCAGAAAAGGCACAGGGCCAGCGGAGGATTGGATGGAGGGCAGACAGTCCTGGCAAGGTTGGTGCGAGAGGGTGTGGGCCCCAGGCGAGGACACAGTTGCAGCGCTAAGAAGAAGCCACGTGCCGCTGCAAAGATGACCTTAGTGGTCCTAAAAACGTCATAAAATACCCGGCATTAATTTGCTGTCGGGATCTTTCAGCAGCTCATAACCCGCTGACCTCGGGCTGCATCCCGATGATCTTGGGCAGGACCACGGCCGGCCGGGGAAGGAGAAAGCCAGGGAGAGGGCCTGGGGGCTGAGGACCTGCTACGGTCTCTGAAACGCTTGGAGGAGGCACTGAGCACTCAAAGCAGCCTCCTGCACAGGAACGCCGGCACGGTCCGGTTCCTGGGCAAATTCCCACTTTCACTGACCTGGAAGTGTGAGATCAGGAACCATCCAAGTGGAGGAGCTGAGTCTGGGGAGGATGGAGAGCGGCTAGCTGCCTCTCTTGGATCTCCTTCCTTTCCTCTCAACAAGGTCCTCCCTCCTTTCTCCTTCCTTCCCCTCCCATCCCTCTTTTTCTACTTTCTTCGGTATCATTGCCTGTCTCTCCTCTTTAGGGACTCCCCAACTTCTGAGGCCGGAGGGAAGGGGAGGCAGGTTTCTGGAGGTCACTGGCCACGCTGCAGACTCGCGGTGGTGGCAGGACCAGGAGACGGGTTTGCGCAGACAGGCACACGTGCACCCGCTCGGGCAGAGGGGAGCGAGGGGTGGGGCCCAATACAGAGAGCGGCGATCAAGTTGGACGGATAGGCACGCGCATGCACTCCCGCGCACTAAGTACCAAAACGCAGACCTAGCTGTCCTCGCCCCAGGCTACGCCACCTCGATGCCGCCTGCCTGTGGGAAAACGGCTCAGGTTATGGCCTCCGAGACACCCACTGTGTGGGTGAAAAAAAAAAGAAAACAGGGCGTGCCAGGCGAGCACTGGGCTGAGATGGGCACACCCCGCACGGGCACGCGCGGCGCTGCCTAACGCTGCTGGCGGCCTGGCTCCCTCGGCAGCCCGACTAACCTGCTCCGGAGACACCCGAGCTCGGGCTGCCGACTGCTCACTCACGCCTGGCGGCCAGCCGGCTCGCCCTGCTGGCTCAGGCCGTGGACGGCGCATCCCGCACAACGCAGAACCCCAGACACCGGATGCATCGGTCTCGCCCTGACGGTTCTCCACCCCTGGTCTTCTGCCTGCCACTTCTCTACGCTTCGCTTCCTCCACTAGCTAGCAGACCCGCGGCCACCACTGCGAGAGACGAGGGAGGGAGGGAGGGAAGGAGAGGGAGGAAGGAAGGAAAGAAGGAAGGAAGGAAGGAAGGAAGGAAGGAAGGAAGGAAGGGAGGAAGGAAGGAAGGAAAGGAGAAAAGTAGACTTGCAGACTGGAGCAACCTCTGCAGCCGCACTGGGAAACTTACTGGGACTTGACAAAAAGAGTTTAAGAAAAGTCAAAAAGGCGAGGTGTCCAGAGTGGGAAGGGAATTCACAGCCGCAGCCTCCTGCCAGCAGCTGGAGCCGCGCTCTGGCCGCGCAGCTCCAGCCCGGAGGAGTCGGCTGCCCTTGCCACTCACCTAGTCCTCTGTCCACAAAGCTCGTGATCGTGTTCGCTGACTTGGAAGACTGGAAGAAGCTGGCGTTGATGCCCAGCCTCTCGGCGATGGAGTAAGTCCTGTAGATGGCCAGCATGTACTCGTGGGGCACCACGCGCGGACCCCGGCCGGGCGGCTCCTGAGCCGCGGGCTCGTCCTCAGGCCGCCCCGGCTGGGGCTCCCGGCGCTCCTGGGGCGCCCGGCCCGCCGCGCTCTCTCGCGGCGCCCGCGGCACCTTCCCTTCCCTGCGGCTCCTCACGCTCTTGGTGGAGCCCAGCTCGGCGGACGAGGAGGAGATGGAAGCCTGCTGGAAACCGGGCAAATCCCACAGGAAACTGATGAGGAAGACGGCGGAGAGCAGGACCCGGGGGGTATCCATGGCGCGCGAGGCGGCCGCGCGGGGCGCAGGGGTTGCGGAGCGGCTGGACAGCGGCGGGGGCCCGGCTCCTCGCGCGGACTCCGAGTGCGAGGAGCCGGGTCCCAGCCACACAAACCCCGGCCCGCCACGCCCCCTCCCGCCCCTCGCCGGGAGGGGAGGGGGAGGAGGGGAGGGACGGGGTGGGAGGAGAGGCCGGCGGTGCGGCCGGAGGTGTGGGGAGAGGGGCTGCGGGTGACGGAGTGGCAGGAGGCGCAGCGCCCCCGCGGGACGCGCGCGGGGTTGCGGGGCGGGGAGCGC